GCCGAGGGCGGGGCGTGGGAGGTCTGGCGGCGGCGGCTGTGGCGGCGACTGCGGCGTTGCTGCTCTGGACGCAGCGCGAGGCCGGCCGGCCGGCAGGGGGAGGCGGGGGGCGTGGGGCAGCCCCGCCTTTTCTCCCGAGGAGCCGCCAGGCAGCCATATTGCGGAGCTGTCTGCGGTGGCGGCGGCGCCTCTTGTTTCTCGCGGCCCATCGCTCCCTCCACCGCCTCTCCCTCCCTGCCGCAGCCGCGACACCCGGCGCCGCCGCGCAGCGCCCCGGCCACACTCAGGGCGGGAAGGAGCCGCCCGCTCTCGGGGTAAGCCGCCGGCGCCCTACCTTCCCCCACTCCCGTTCCCGGGCTTCGCCGGAGACGCTGAGGTGGCGGCGAGAAGTTTCGGGGCCCAGTGCTGCCCTGCGGCCGCGCCGCCGAGGGCCGCGGTGTCGCTGCCCTAACAGCCCGGCTGGCCAGGCCGCATCCGGGGCCGCGGGTGCCGCGAGGCTCTGCCCGAGTCGTGGCTGCGGCCTGAACACGCCGGTGCGCGCTTCTCCTCCCTTCGGGCGTGGGTCCGCCTTCAGCGTCCGTCCCGGACCCCCTCCGCCTCGAGCTCGGTCGGGTTCCCGCCGATCGGGTGCGGCCCCGGGCTCGGCCTGGCTCGTCCCTTCTAGGCAGTTTGAGAATACAGATTTAAGCCTAGGAAAAATTACGTTTTGCCATGTAGGGAAGGAATTTATTACAACTTCTTCTCCCCGGCCTCCAGTTTGAAAGTAAGGGTGTTGAATTACTAGAGAACACACGGTTCCGCCCTGGTGGCAAAGGGATGTTGCCTTACGGGCTTTGGGGCGCGAACCGCCCTCAGCCACCCGCACCCGCGCGGCGAGGGCCGCAGTTCTGGCCCCGGCTCTACCTGCTGCTTCTACTGCTGAAGGCGGCCTCCGAGCCCCATAACTTTCTTCGGCCTTTGAGGCAGCCCAGTTTAGTATCTTAGGCCCCAGTAGATAAGTTGAGTACATTACAGTCCCCCCTTTCTTTAAAGGGTTGTAAACTTAATTCCCGGGCTAACTTTGAAAGCGGGGGTGGGGGGGGCACTGCATTATTGCAGTTTAAATAGAGCACTTCACTTTTTATACAGATGTGGCATGGTTCTTTAACCATTCACAACATGTATTTAGCGTTCTTTACCATTAAGGAGTGGTTATTAATGAGGCTGAAAATAGGTTAAAAGTCAACTTCATCAAAGATACATTTTAAAATACAGTTGAGATTTGTGTAGAAGACATTTTAATGAGTTCTGCGGCACTAAGACGGGCATGATGTAAATATAAAAACCCAAGATAATAAGGATTTATTTGATAAACGAGCACTTGGACTTAGACATTGCAATCTATTGTTTATGGAGCATACATTTTTTAGAACACTAAATACTCTTTTATATTTCGGACGGAGCTCTGAATGAACAATTGCCCCGTTCATTTTGTTGGATAAATAATGGCTCAATCCATTTGCCATAACAGCATTATTATCGATGGATTTAAGAAGAGAGACTAATATTCAGGATTGCATTTTAAAAAATTTTTAGTATTACATTACTTTAACCAGTGGGCTTTATCTTCCAGAGACTAATTACCTCAAATGTGGTAAAATGTATTGAATAAAACATTTCTTTTGAAGTTAATGGTATCCTGTAAAGTTGATTGCACTGACTTTGTTTCTTTTGCTAAACCACTTTTTTAAATATATGATGGGATTTAATAAACAGTACATTATTAGTGAGGAATGAATAGACATGCATTGGAATTCTTTACAGTTTTATTTAAATGAGACAAAATTTGTGGCATTTAGGAATGTTAAATTCTTGCCCTAGTGGATTATACATTGTTTTGTTCACTCCTGTATTCCCAAGCATGGCAGAGCATGTAGGAGAGGCTCAGAAGTTAAATGTAATTAATTTCAGCGTGGGGAAAGTATGTTTAGTCTGTCCTTTGTTTTGGACATTTGTATTAACTGGAAATTAAACTGATATCCTTTTTTCTGTGGCGGTGAGAAATGACAGATTCTGCTGTTCTATCTCTCTTTTGTTAAAACTCAGTCTCAGGGAGAGAACAAGGCTTATTTCTTCTTTTTTTGCTTCACTATTCCCAAGAGCAGAATTGGATTTTATTATTCATTTTTATCTTTGGCAGGCAGTTGAAATGAAAGTCTTTATGTACTTTTATCTTAATTTCAGTTCTCAATCTTCTAATGTAATCTGTGTATAGTCTAATACAATGGAGCCTAAAATCTTGAATGATGATGGGAGTCTTGTTTTTTCTTCCATTTTTAACTTGATTCAGTTCAACTTGCACAATTTAAAAATGGCAAATTTTAACCAATATTTCCCAAAGACCAAAGCCTAAAAAAATGTGTTCTATTAAGATTGTGAAGATAGCCATGTTGGTGAACATACTTGATAGGGTAGAGTTAATATCATATCGTGCTATTGCTGTGAATCTGGGAAGTTGAGGAAGCCACCCTTTCTTGGATGGCTTGGACCTCCTGCAGACCAGGAGCTAGTGGGCACTTCTCACGACCCTGATATTATCCTTGGGGTACTGGATTTAGTGGAACTGGATTGGGTTGCTGTAGACTCCAGCTTTACAAGGTTATTTTAAACCTCATGGTGTTAAAAGCCCTTCAGGGAACTTCCCTAACTTATGCAGCAAGTATATCTTCACCTGTTGCGTGATAGAAATGGCCAGTCTGACCCCAGAGAGTTCCTGAATTTCTAGCCTCTTTCAGAAGAATCCTGCCTTTACTGTTCATATTAGTTCCTGGTATATTTTTCAATATTAATTTATAATGAACATATTTTAAACCATTTTTAAAGACTATAAAATTAATAAATTTTATGACAAAGTTAAAAAAACCCAGAAAGATGTTAAGGAAAAAGTAAAAGTTCTCCCCAGCTTCCCAGAACCACCCCCCCACCCCCGCACCTCTCCCAGTCCCGGTCTCTGTTTTTCAGAAGTAATTGCTATTAGCTATTCCTTGTAGTATATAGAAAATGCCAATATTTATGCAAGGGTAAACATATACTTTATATATATCCCTTATTTGCAATTTTAAAGTCTTTAAAAATAAGGTTATTTTGTAACAAACATTGAAAGGGTGTTTATTACTGTGTTGAGCATTAAGTAATTAGTATTTCTTGGATTTTCATCATTTGAATGAAATAAAAATGGAATTTCTGGTAATCTCAAAAGTGTTCATGTACATGTGCAAATTTTCTTGATTAATGATTGAAGATGAATTCACTTTTTTCTTTTTTTCTTCTAGGGTATGGTATATAACTGACACTGAAAAGTGGTGTCCTTTAAAAAAGGGTTTGTGATTTTGGGTAGTGAAATGTCCGTATTATATATGTAGCTTTTTACCTGGGAACTGTTTGGAAAGGAAATGTGGTCCATATGATTCAGTTCTTTGTTTCTTTGTTCCATTTAATGCTGAATCCTAGCTTTAACTTCCTGGAAGAGAGGGGTTCTTTCAGGTTAGTAGTTGTATAGGTTTTTTTTTTTTTTTTTCTTTTAATAACCAGTATGTATAGAAACTCTTGCAAATTCGCAAAGTTATTTTTTTCCTATTGCAGTATCAAGTTACCTTTTAGAAGAATTCTAAAGTACATTTTATAGAGGCTAGTTATGTATGTAAATACGGTATGCATATGAATAGGATGCTCCAATAACACTGGTTCCTTTTCTGCTTTTCTACATAATTTACATACATTTGAAATAAGAAACTTTTGGGTTCTAGTAAAGTTGATTTATTTGAAAATGATATTCTCTTTACTGTTAACCATTTGGAGAAGAGGTCAGCAAACTGGTTTGAAGGCCACATTCAGCCTACTACCTTTTTTGTAAACAAAGTTTTATGTGAACACATGATGGCTCATTGGTTTACATATTATGTATGGTTGCTGTTTTGCTACAACAACAGAGTAGTTGCAACAGAGGCTGTATGGGCCACAAAACCTAAAACGTTTACTTAACCTGGCCCTTTACAGAAAATGTTTGCTGACCCCTGCTTTAAGGTATTATTCATACATTCAGACATTTATAATCATATGCCAGATATTCTTTGCATTTGTTCAGTAAGATAATGAGAACGTCACACTCTAATGGGAATATACTTGTGCCATTTTGTATACCATAAACAGTTTTTCTTAAGTGCTCTTTGTGTGTATAAACTGGAGTTCATATTCAGTGTAACAGTGTTGTAAGCATAGTCTTCTGTGGTGTGAATTCTGGGTGTTCCTTGTTTTGTACTTTAAAAAAACCCCAAAACTTCTTGTTGTTTCTGTAAATTAACTAATAACCTTTTGATAAATTAAATTGTAACTGAAAATCCTGTTAGTACTCAGAATGATGTGGGTACGAGTATAATAGAGGGACCATTAATAAAAGGGAGAATGGGGACATAGGAAATCTCAGCCATGGTTAATTGAATCTAATCACCCTTTGGCTTTTATTGAGTATGTGGGATGGACTAAACTTTGTTAGACATCATGAGCGCTCTTGATATTTAAGCTGTCTCTAGAATCTATAAGGAAACTATAAAAACCTAGTTTGGTTATTAAGCAAAGTTGGTATATACAGTTGACACTCTGCATCTGTGGGTTCTGCCAACCTTGGATTGAAAATATTTGGAAAAAACAATTCCAGAAAGTTCTGAAAAGTAAAACTTGAATTTGCCACATGCTGGCAAGTATTTACATAGCATTTACATTGTATTTACAATTGTTTACATAGCATTTATATTGTATTAGGTATTGTAAGTAATCTAGAGATAATTTAAAGTATATGAGAGGATGTGTGTAGGTTATATGCAAATATAATATTTTATATTTATATATATGTATGTATATAAATGTACATATATTTTGTGTAAGGGATTTGAGCATCCCTAGATTTTGGTATCTGCAGAGGGGTCCTGGAACCAATCCCCTGTGGATACCAAAGGATGACTGTATACCTAAAGTGCTTACTATTTACATCTAATCATCAAGCAGCATGATAATTATAGATATTATTAAATGTGTCAAATTAGGTGGCCTTTAAATTTAATTTGATTGTCAAATTATTATTTTTAATTTTTTAATTTTTATTTTTTACGGTACGCGGACCTCTCACTGCTGTGGCCTCTCCTGTTGCGGAGCACAGGCTCCAGACGCGCAGGCTCAGCAGCCATGGCCCACGGGCCCAGCCGCTCCGCGGCATGTGGGATCCTCCCGGACCGGGGCACGAACCCGTGTTCCCTGCATCGGCAGGCGGACTCTCAACCAC